AAAAAAAAATCTACATTCATGAAGCCCGAGTGCTAGCACCTTGAGATCTGTCGGCTCTCTCACCACAGCCCTGAACCCTTCGTTATTCACGATCACGGGAGATCTTCCATGGGACACACTTTCGAGCAACGAATGTCCTTCTCAAAATATTTTGAACTAACGGCTCAAGGTCTTTCTCGTAGTACAAGCCTCGCCGCATACCGAATGTTTACAACGAGCTGTTTCCGTCGATCTAATTCTAAGACAGGACTCTGGAACCTTTCAGTCTTTCATGGCTCACCACAATTCATTTGGTGAAACTCCAATGCCAATACCCAAGTGAATTCTATTTTATAGGATACAAATGCACCGTTATAAAATATAGGATTACTTTCCAAAACGAGATTAACGGTTGTCACGTTTAATATATACATAACAAAACACACACACACACATATATATATATATAATACTGAGTTAGCATGATTGGCCGGAGCGAGACAAACGTAACGCAGGACAATGAAAAAAACCGGCAAAGTAACGGGATATCTAAAACAATGCAGTAATTTGTTTGCGATGAAAGGACCCACAATAATAATAATAATAGTTATACGACCGCGTTGACCGATTCGCAAGAACAGTACTATCGACAGCAAATAATAAACTAAGTAAATGTAACTTGGCTTCAACTAAGTAGGCTTAAAGTTGGCTAATATTTGATTAGAATTGTTGTAAACAGCGTATCCAGCGCGTTTACGGGAAAGGCTCTGATTTCGTATCCCTTAAAGATGATCCAATTTGTCGTCGCAATCTTGATGTTAACTTATAAGTATACATAAATAAAATTGTATCAAGGTTTTCAGTCGAGTGATAACTAATCGCACCTTGATTCTAACCTATAGTCAACCAGTTTAGTTCTTCGATTCACATAACAATTATCACTAGGTGATGTTCTATGGCCATTTATAAAAACCTTCTTTTGAAACCACTTATCCACTAGAGTAGTTAATTTATTACCACAATAAACGTTTGAACAAAAAAATGTTGGCACTAAAAAGTTCCGGACTTCGCATTTCTGTGGCTGTTTGGCCGTTCAATAACGTATTAATAATAAATAGTCGATCTGCGTTCTCATGTATATAATCCATCAATACCGTTTCCCGTCCATTTTATATGAGAGGAGATGTGAGGGTCAGACAGTCTCTTCAAGACGGTCTCTCCTCTCATCACCGCTTCTCACGTTTGTAGAGTTCAAGTCTAATTTAATTCGATACACATATAGCTCAAACCTCTATACGTGTTGCAATAGAAAAAAAAGCTGTTTATATGATTCTGATCATATAAAGACAGACGTGAATCGTTTCATTAAATCAAAGATGATATATACACGCTTACGAGGTTAACCAGCAATATCAGTCCTTAATTAAATCCTAATTGACGCTAAAGGATACTGACGCTGTGGAAGTAAACTATTGTATTGCGTCGTCTAATGCAGCATCCCACTGATTGACGAGACACACAAATCCAGCCACGACCACAATCGTAGTACGACATGACACCCCTTTGCAACTGAAATCGGTCGAGGCCGTGACCTCGTCCTATATACCAGATGCTTCATAGAAGCGTTTCATTTTGCGAAACAAACTTCAGTAAGTAGCTTGAAAAAATTCTAACAGCAATACAAAGTTTTTAAGTACAAAAACGTCTTACAAACAACGAAGTAGGCAGGAGAATTCCAGTTAAAGGCAAAAGGGTAACTTGCTCTCCCGTTTCAAACACGTTTATTCAGTCCACTCAGAGTCGTTTTACTAATCTCGATACTATGCCACATTCAAGTGCTGCGTTTCTCATAGCCCGTGGGTTTTTTGACGGACTGCGTCGTTCTAGAAAAATGCTAGAAATACTTAGGGCATACTCGATCGAAAGCTCGTTTGCCAGATACCAAAACGGCTGGGCAGTTTGGTAATAAGAGTGTGACAGACAACCGCTTGATGCTTAGAACTCTACATTCATAAGAATCGTTAAGTGAGGTTACGCGACACGTAACAGACCACACGAGTATATTCTGATACTGTCATTAGGCTTAGGTTAAGAAGCAGGCCATACTAGGATCACAGAACATCTTACATACCACCCACAATCTTTTTACCGTCAGATATGAAGTGATTGGCAGAAATCTGTTGTCCGGAGATAGAGAGACATTTCAGAGTAAGTACTTGACGAGAACTCCTACTGATTTGAAAAGCGGAGATGTGACATATCGACTTGAAATTCTAAAAGTTCCAAGTCGCCACCGTAATAACCTGAGCAGATCTCAACGTCGACGAGCATGGTTCAGACACGATTACGAAGTACAACGACCCGAATCATTCGGAAACATTACAGTTCGGTAGAGTACTTTACTATTAATGTACAATAGGTTCTTGGGGTAGGTAGTATATTCAAGCAGGACAATATTTTTTCAAACATGGGTTTTTTTACTTCGAGATTTTCGTGTCGATCCCAGTTCATCCTTTAAACATGATCCCCATAGTTCTCGTCATTACTTATTAAAGTACTGGAATCTACATGAATTTAATCGGTAATTGCCTAGCTTGCGAAAAATCGTTATGTTTCGGTATAAAGGCAAAATCAATTTTGCCAGCTTCCCTTGAATACAGCTAGAGAGAGAGCCGATAGATCTTTGTGGCCAAGGAAGATCCACTTCACTCGACCGGCGTATCTGTTCCCGTGTCTATGAGTTTTTAAACTATCTAAATACGTTGACTATTGGGTCGACCCATTTTCCCATTGGCGCAGCGTATTCGTAATATGAGTGCAAAGCAATTATGGAAGCGAAATAATTTTAAACGATATCAAGTTTACGTTTATATAGTAATAGGATGGTGTGGCTGTGTCAGTTGATTGGGATCCTCCTGCTAGCAAACGTCAATACCGTTCGAATTCGTTCAACTGAGACAATTGAGCGGCGGGGTCGTACCACATTCGAGGGTCACAGGTCGATGATATACATTTTTCGTTTTCAGGCATCATTTGCGCTTGTCAACAATCGTAGCCCACAAATACAAATGTCCTCAGTCCTTTTGTGACAATTTAGTACTTAGTATTAAATTCTCGATAACGTTGACAACTACAGCAAGCAGTTGTAGAGCTAAATAGATAGATGATGTACATTTTAAATGTCAAAATCAATTGGTCGTCATATTAGGATTAGGGCAGTTATGGAAAAAGAGAGCTATGTATATATTCTTTTCAAAGTATACGATATCATATTTTAACGTTAACAATCTTAAAGACAAGTCCGGTCTCATGTTTACGATGACTGATTTTCATTTTGTCTACTAATAAAGGCTAATAATACGGGGTGGTTTCTTAGAGTGACTGAGTTCTGCGCTGCCCATCTTGGGCGTCCATGACCCTTCCAAAAGAACGGCTTCTCCTCTATACATCACACGAGGACAACTCGCGTAGCTGTACACCTAAAATTTCGTTCGCTCGGACAAACATTACCCAATCGTCGAATCCGAATATTCGTAAACAGCGTACGAATTTGTATTCACTCGTCCATTAAAGCTAGTTATTGCAAAAGCTAACATTGTTACTAAATACTGCAAAAGAAAAAAAATTTTCCAATTGAAAATAATTTTCGTGGCAACGATAAGGCCGCGAAAAAATAGCGAGCGGCGATATTCATTCGATAGCTTTTGGCATCCATATATGGTTTGATTTCTGCTTTTGCGTATGTTTCACCTAAAAAAGTAATACATTTTTTTCAGATAGACTTCATGCCTGAGCAGGAACAACAAAGGGTACCGCTACACAAATATACTTATTTTACAAGTTATTTAACAGTCTTCCGAAAAATTCAGATAATTATTCAAAAATGTACAATTTTATTAGTTTCATCTTACCTCTCTGTTTCGAGTTTCGCATTTGGTACTGCTGTTAGGCATTTCATGATACGCTTGGCTGACTCAAACGAAATCTGTCTGTCTATGCTCACGTTCGAATCCAGATCATAACGTGTCCCTAAGATCAGTAGGCAAATACGTTACCGTTACGAAAAAAAGAATTATCCGTGGGTGTTTGACATTCGCACAGAGGTACGAGGCAATTATTATGGAAGTAGCTGGCTTCCTGCTTGTCTCGAGGAACCTACTAGCTTATATGTACATCTCAACACATTTTAGTAACATGTGAAGAGGAGATTACAAATTGAAGAACTTCAACCATGATACCTAACATGAATAGCTGACTTTAAAGTATCTATTCTATGTTAGTTGTCGCAGGGATTCAAAAGGTAACGTAACTTTGTTGTTACGCATTTCGTTGTTGAAGTATAGTTAAACGCCGTAGCGGTACACCGGCTTCTATTCAGGCTTTGTCAGTGTAGAATCTTCTATAGGGGGTGTTGTATAATGTAACTCTATTTAATACCTAGGTAATAAATATAATGGTTTTGATTTAATAATATATCGTCGAATATATAGTCTTGACAAAGACTTTTACTGGATTGCATACACTCACAGAAGCGTAGGACACGTCTTGTTCTATGATATGCTGTAACGTTTTTCCTAATTCTGTATTGCATGCCAAATCAAACGTCATTCTGCAAATTTTCATTTCTACTTTATTGGTATTGAAGGAAGTTGCAGCCATGCTCCCAGCGTAGTTGTTCCAACGCGCCTGTATCAGCCTGCAGAGCGATGTTGCGGATGACCGCAGCGGGCTTTATTTCAGCCATTTCCGAGGCGGACTATTTTCTGGTCTAAAACCCCAAGCTTTATCCATCTACGTGGCATAAATTCTGATGAATGTACGTATGAACGTTGCGTTTGAATTTCTAATTGTTCTCAGTTTATTATAGAATTCTGTTCTCAAGTGAATTATAGAAGCATGCAAAGAATGCGCTACGACAAGCTTCCGTGTTGGACAAAAAACTAATGCAACATCAAGTAGCGGGATATGAATCGATTTTAACAACAAGCTTTATTCTATCACTCCTTCAAACTATAGTTCACTAAGCACGGGACTTGATTTGGCACTCGATTGTTTGTTTTCGTTGGCAAAAAAGAAAAAAAAATCGTTCAGCTGATGGTAAAATATAATGCTTGTGGTCATTGCTTCTGACAATACAGACCTAGACGTTGTGCAGATTTTTTATTTTCAAATTTATTGTCAAATGGGACAGTTGAGAGAGTTCTGAATTCTATCTATTAGTAGATATTCATAGATTAATCACTTATTTTAGAAGCTCTTTTACATATTTTCAAATAGTACGGCAACCAAATTGTAGGCTTCAACAGTGATAAACTATAGAACCCGCTTTTTGATAAGAAAGGAAGACAATACATTCACTACACACAGCGTCTACTATGAAAATAAATAATATTTGGGATGTCTTATGCATTTTCAATTGGATAATTAATGTATTTTAATTTCTAACACAGATATAAGCTGCACTTACGTTTATCAAATTATAAAATTTGCCATTCACACGATGGCCTCGTCAACGGGTTAGCGGTTGAAGCTTTGCAATGTGACATATGCCACACATAGGTATACAATATATGTAGGACGATGTTTGAACAAGATACAATGGAGGATTGAAACTATCTATCTCGCCTTTTTTTCCATATGTCATGCTCTTATGCCTATACCTGTATGCTGTAAAAGTGATACTAGCCCAACTGCTCCGACTGATTTTTATTACTTTTGATGTAATACTCTGACTGCTTTCAGTAACGCTGAAAGTAAAGGTTAAATTTCTACTTATCCGCCACTGAGTGTTAATCCGGGCGATGGGTCATATTCATTGGAAATGCTTCTGATTGTAGGAATTATAACCACGTCGCTGGTGCTGCCGCTGGTGTTTCGTACAACGCTGTTCGATAAATCGGCGCGGCGACGTGCACAAGAGAAATTTTTCAAATACTGCGCGCGCTATTCGATCGATGCTGCTCCTGGTCGTTAACTGTATTTCATACTGGTTCCTGCACTTTTATTGCTTTTGCCGCCATTAAGATTAAGTAAAATAGGTGTTGGTTTTCTTCCTTGTAAATTACTGTATCCTTTAACGGCAAAAATATGTCCCGCGTTCACTTGTCTGGTGAGCTCGTCTTGTGTGAGTCCGACGTATGACGACGCAACGAACAGCTCCCGGTAATCAGTTCCACCGAAGCAAACAGAACTTAACTGAAATGAAGACAAGCGACGTTGCTACAATGCGCATAGGTGTGCCGCACTTTAACAATGCTCAAAGATAGAATAGGTTCTCGTTCAACGATGTGTCGTAGGTGAGCGATTCACGCAAAGCAACGCCCTTTCATACGAAATCCATTTCTCTACTATAAGCATAGAAACTTTGCTCTAAACGTTATGAAAGATGTCCTCCACACAACCAGGTGAGATTTTTTTACTGGGCGTTATTTGGCTTATATATATATATATATATATATATATATATATAGAAAGAGAGAGAGAGAGAGAGAGAGAGAGAGAGAGAGGGAAATTTCCTGCACAACATTGAAAGTATACCAATATAAACAAGATTTTAGTTTATATTTAGGAAGGGCGAGATAACATTGGAAACTCTTATGTTCATACTCTGCGGGAATATTGTAATTGAACGTTGAAACTTTAAGTATCTAACTCTTTAAGTTCTCTCTAAGTTCTTGTTAAACGTTACCTTTACTTTTACGCAACATTAAAAAAAAAAACGCTGAAATCTAGGATTCACACGAACTAAGAACTATTCTCTCGACACTTGTAAGGCGATACGTTAAGGCAATAAGGAATGCGATACGCAAGTGTATTTTAGTAAGTAATATGGACATTTTGTCCAAAAAGCTTTTGAACATGTATCTGGAAAAAGGTACACTTCTGTTAAGCAGCTAATAAATACAAGCAATAAGGCAACAAGTAAAAGCAATAAGTTTTTAATGGAGCTTTCAGCAATAAACAGGTCCTTTGATTTCTTCAACTCTACACAAATTGATTTAAATTAGTAATAAGACCGGGGCCAGTTTTCGTTGATAACTATTAAACATTTTTATGCAACAGACTTTATATGCTGCTACTTCGAAAAAGAATCATCGTCGACTTCATTACTTAACGGTACATGCACTCTCTATTTGAAATATTCGAAATTATGCGAAGTTGTTTGCTCAGCTGGAAGCCGGTGACCACAAACTAATGATAAGCGACTGTACACGTCGGAATTCAAAAGCCTTCCGTGGCAAAATGTTAAGTAACCAATATCTCGCCATTAGAAAACCACAGCAAATAACACAAAAGCTAAAAGATTTCTTTAAAAAAAAAACTCGTCAAAAGCTGGACACTTTCTTGAAAAGTACACGGTACTTTTCAAGTACTTAAAAAGGTTGATAGCATAGGGAAATAATAAAGCCATTTACAACGTTTAACGTTTCTTCGATCTTCAAGTTGCAAAGAACTGCCAGCTATTATGAAAAATATGTTGCGTTTTTGATAAGTCGTATATGATGTCATAGGTCTATAGGCGATAAAAAAAATATTAGGCAGAAAATAATGCAATAAGGGCATGGCTTTTTCATTACATTGAACACAAACTATCGAGGGACTAAGCCAGCTGCAGGGACCGGACAAACCAGAAATGGCAAAAGGTCATGTACCACCGATGCCAGCAGCTGGTGTGATATTTACTTATTCTTTTTTATGGTAGGATATAGGTTTTCGGGTGTACTAAAACCGCTATTAAAGGCTACACCGGTGATTTTTGATAGTCTGAGTCACTTCGAACGAGGTGTCTCTTTATGACAGAAAAACGAAACAAAAAAAAACATTTTTCATGGAAAAATTTTAGAAGATATTCGTATCGTTAGGTTTATTGTAACATATTACCACCCGATATGTCCGAAGTCATATTGATATGAAATAAACGCACCTCCTTTGCTTTTGGCATGAGAAGATCTCTGAGGATGGTTTTTGACTCAATGTCCACCTCGATTACCTTGCCTTCTCCAGAGCAGCACACCCACAAATGGTCATTTTTGTCCACGGCCATACCTCTCACCTGGCTATTTTCCACAAGTGGGCTCGTCTCCCAGTTGATGAACGTGCTCTGCCAGCAAAAGAAAGACTTGATATGTAAAAAAATAAGATAAGAGTAGATATTTATTTCGCGCAAGTTTACCAAGCCAGCATCAAATACATCCGTCAAGCATGTGGTGCTGGTCCGCTGCCTCGCTTTTCTGAAGACATTCATGATAAGATAGGGCAGCTCCTTCATTCAGATAAATGCCCTTTTAAACAACCAGTTCTACGCTACTAGTCGCTTCGCCCCTCTGCAATAGAGCAATCAATGCCCGCTCAACCATCACCTTAGCTGTTCCCTATAGCCGCTCTAAAATGCTACTGGCATATTCTAATAACAGGCATACTTACAATTGTTTAGTAACCAATCTGCAATGATCGCAAGTACGATTAACTAGTGTTCAGCTGGTAATGGATTTTTCACATATGAACGTATATGGCTCCATCCATTATCCTATTATGTTTAGTAATATCTTTACCGTCAGCTTAATAGCCAAATGATGCGCTTGGATTGCACTGCCCCGCCCGAACATCTGAGTCGATTGCCCCACAATTTGTCCACTACATACGTGTTTGTATCTATCGATCTGAGAATTACTTATGTGCACATACAGCTCCGTAAAACATTTTACAGCAACAAGAGTATCGACGGCACCATTTTCTAGTTTCTAGATCAGCACCTTAAAAAGAAACGATAACAACTGGATCAGACTAACGATGCATAAACTCGTATTGAAAAATGCCAATAGTCCAGTTAATTGGTACGATGGGCACCGCAGCGTCTAGTTTCATTACGGGAACAACAAATCAAAGTCGTCTATGTTTTAATGCTGACATATTCAGGATACAGACGCGCTGATAAAAAGACCTTCTTGAGCACCGGCCTCGAGCACTGAACAAGTGATGAATATGACCGACCTGAGATCGTAAAGCTTCCCATGGATGACATCTTTTATTTAGGGTATTCTTCTCGTCAGGATCACCACGCACCTATCCTAAGCAGTGTACAATCCCAAAAAAAAAATGTTCATTTGTGCCGAGTGAACGAGCACCAGGCAGTAGAATTTTCGTTTTATAGGGGTCAGCACATTCAGAGAAAAAGAACGTTCCGAAAGCTACAAATATTTAGCCTTTTTGGTTTAATTGTTTTAAACGAAGCGCGAATATTCAAACATTCTATGAACTGAACATCACAGGAGATTCTGTCAATTGATTTTATGGTTTCCTCAAAGATGACGATCGTCTTTGAAAATGGCCCTTTCGAAATTCGTGTGCGTCGACTAAATGGGATATTATTGGGGCCAAATATGTTTTTCAGTTACATATTTTTTATCAGCTAATCCTTTAACATCTAGCTTGGATATTTAAATAACCTGGATATCTCTAAACAGCCTATTCTGCATTTCCAAATCGCTATATATTTGCTGTAGAATTAAGTCTATTAATATACATTATCTATTTCCCGAACAATTAGTCGCACTTTCACTCGAGTGTTTCTTTTTTTTTAATTTACCTTGGTCCATGTAATGCAACGGTCCCTGTCGCTCCGTGCTAAGTACCCAAGAAGAAACAAGTGTTACTTACGGGAGAGGTAATATTAATTTGATCCAAGCTGAAATAGACTAGACGCTTCCTCATCAGGTCGAATGCAAACAGGCGCGAATAATCCTTTAAATAAAAGAGATTCTTGAATAGTAGTACTCCGTATTTGACATCGTTCAACGAATTTCTGCCAGTGATGATTGCTGTTATAAATCTACTGCTGGATTTTTTCAGTAAATCACTACATAATTAAATATCATTTTAGAGCTCACATCCAAGCTATTTTTTGGAATCTCCTCTTATATTTAAAAAATAGCTTCGTGCAGCCAAATGTACGTCTTCTGCAGTAAATACCACTTTCCTGTTAGAGACAGTTTCCCCTCTGCAGTTGCATATAAAAGTTACATTTAAAATAAATACTGGACCTCAATAGATGCACATATCTAAATTAGAGGTGGAACTAACACCTGTTATCATAAAGGACGCTACCTGATACACGTAGGTTAAAGAAGCAAGATGAACGTGACTGGTCGTCCGATCAGAAATTATGTAAAAATAACCATGATTGTGGAGCGTTGCATGACGGGTCAAATGGAGTTCTTATGATGCTTTTACTTGGCCAATGAATAACTATGATGTACTGTCAACGCTGATGAACTAGACATTGGGTTCGAATACACACAAGTATTCTCACCACATGAGCTAGACATTTTAAAAGATACACTAATTAAATTTTACGTTCATTTTAGCTCCGTTTCACATGTCTGCGAACGTGTGGCAAGCGTGTATGCACATATCGGGCGTACATATATACTGCACGATGCAGCTATGACAATGCAACGACGTATTTACCTTGTTGAAACACATGCCATCCGACAGACAGATCCCATCGTATAGTTTGAAGATACTTCCAGCAGTCGTCATGCAACAAAATGTACCGCCGCATTGTTCCATCACTCGGTTGTTTTCTATATACGATACAATTGAAAAAAGCCAACTGCCGTTATCGTAAATGTAGCTGTCTTTCACTTTATTTCATAGCATATATTAGTACTGAAACGTGCTATTATCTTACTTACTGCAAACCCCTTAACGCAGACCTACATAATATAATAGCCTGATCTATAATGACTACATTTTTTCATTTATAGCCTTTAATGAGTAGTTTCAAAGAAACAAGGCAACATGTGAATAATAATCGATACTTTTTACACAGAAAACTACGCTGGTAGCTTTGAAATCGCAATTTTCAACATAATTAGATCATCAAGCTTAGTTGATTTATCATCTATTCTGTTTAGCCTACCTCTGAATCAATGCCCAACGACAGTTTATTCGAAATTATTCTAACCAGATATAAACACTCGGTAGAATTTACAAGGCAGGGCAGTCTGTCCACAAGAAGACCAGCCGTTTTAACTGTATCAGGATTTGCGGAGTAGATGTCTATGTAAACTACAGATTCCATATAATGTCCTCTGTGGCGTCTTTTGTGCTATATATTGAATGAAACGTAGAAACAAAAGTCGACGACAGTTAACTGTAATAATAACTCCAGCTACTTTTGTATAGCATCTTCGACTGATATTGCAGCTATCTTATCTAATACATATACGGCAGCTACCGTGCAATAATGTACGTACTGCACTTATTAAAGTAAATATCTTGATTTGTGATAATACCGAATCGCAGTTAGCTGATACCAGATTGAATAACGGAGAAGAATAAACGGCCACTGTTGTGTGTTGTGGCAGCCCCAACAGTTCCTTTGAGTCCAATATCTTCCAAAGAGCACACATCAAGCTCCGCATTATTATCAAGGTCCACAACCTGCATTCGACAACCGGTCCAATTGTTGCCAACCGAACAAGAAGACAACACGAAAAAAAAATCGAGAATGCGACGAGTGAGGTTTTTCCGGCAGCGGCGAAAAAGGAATCCTCTTATAACGTCAAATATAACATATATATTAAGAACCTTTCTCGACTGCTATATCTGTTTGATAATAGAAACGAAATAAACCAAATAAGATAAACCGCTTATTTACTTGAATTCATCTATTGTAAAAAAAGAAAAAACACGGTAGCGTGCTTAAAAAAATATATCCATATCCTTACCCTGATCTGCAGCCCGTCGCTAATGAGCACACTGCTTTGAAGTACGAACTCTGAAGGTAGTTTGGATCTTTTGAAGAGCGGAAACATAAACGCTGAGCGTTCTGCGTTTGAATTTTTAATAAACAGAAAAAGCATAAGTATCTATTCAGTTAGCACTATAAACTGAGTTATCTTTTTAACGAAAGCGATTTCTAACAACAAATATTAAGAGGACGCATTTGTGCTGCTAATGGCTATGCTTGGTAATTCAATGTAAAAGGCCATACAGGGCTAGCTCACGTTGCCTGTGGGCTTGTAGCTGCACAATAGGTCTTGATCAAAATACCCGTCGTTGCTCTAATATTATTCTTCGAGAAGAGGCGTACTTTGTTGAACTTTATAGTTGAAAGCTCTATAACATCTTTTCGATCACACCACAACACGTTAGTCTCGTGAGCTCGCTACACAGCCTCAAATCATGTAATGTTCTAAGTTCCTGAATTAGACAATCTGATTATTACTATCCATGCTAACAAGCCCTTAATGTTTTATACGCCTCTTAGAATACCACCATTTGTGAGGCGTTAATATACCTTCAAATGATATCACTAATTTCATGCTAAATAACATGCCCAAACAGTTTAATCAAAATGATTCGTATACAGAGCAGATAGAACCTGCCCTTTGAGCTAGTTATTGCAAATGGCACACGATTCAAAACCTATCGCAAGGCAAGAACAGGCCTTTAAAACACTGCCATTTTTAGTTAACGCTGTTTTCGCTTCCGGGAAAATTTTGCGGATCGCTGGCGCCACGCGTGGCCATCATTTGGTCAGGTGAATTGGCATCATAGATACAAATTCAAATCGTTCAATCGGTACCTTGTACGAAGCTTTTTATCGATATTGGGCAGGGTTTCACAGATTTGTTTTGGACATAATGTTAAAAATGATATATCAACTAATGTCTCTCGCATAAACTGTGAAGTAGTTTAGCTGTAGCAGACATCTACCAAAACATTGAAACCTAAAGCCGATGCATTCAAACATGAGTATCGACAGTGATGAGATAATCCTTCTAGCAACTCTTGTTTGCTTACTTTTTGTATAGAGTGTTGCGAGGATATCCTGGTCATCAACTGAGTACTTAATCACTTTCTTCATTGAAGCGTCAGCATAGTAAAGAATACCATCAATGAAAAACATGTTTGTGCCCTGTTTGCTTTTATGTGACTTTAGTGGCTTAATTCGACAGTTCGTTCGAGCAAGGACGCCCCCTCGAGTATTCATACTTTTTTCACTTATTACTTTAAATAGCTTAAATCTGTATGAAGCTTTCGAATTTTGGAGAACAGCTATTATAACAATTTCGTTTTCAATAGGAAATAAACTAGAATTTGCGAAGCAAAGTACGCAAAGAAAATAGGCTGTATTTAGTAAATACTCTGGGGGAGGGGGAGGGCTAGGGTGTAGTCTCAGAGGGACGATCGTACTCCAGTATAAGGTCAGCAACCCTCGACGAGTCGAGTAATTTCATCATTTGATGAAAATGTTGCGAAGACAAAAACCTACAAATAACCTTTTTTACATTTAGGTGATTCTTATTTGTAGACTCGGCTTGTAGAATGGGACGTCACCCTTTTGAAAAGTTTAATATATGGTATCTATCGAAATAATATGAACTTTTTCCATAGACGTTCTGAGCAACGATATCGCTCATGTCTATAATGACTCGTATGAAGAAAAGTAAAGGTCCTCATGATTTCAACGTCAAAGACGAGCTTAGAAACCGATGCTTTTCTGGCATGAGCGTTGGAACACGTCGAATCGCGTAGTTATTTTATTTTTTTATTTACGTTTGTTTGGCTAACCAGTAGTGCAAACTTTCCAGTGTCCAAACTGCCAAAAACGTAACTAGAATCGAAATGGACCCCAATATCAGAATTTCAATAGAGCATAATAAGTTTTCCAATTTTAAAAAAAAACACTGAGCCAGACACGGTAAATAACTAGTAATCTCAAGTGCTAATATATACCCTTATTGTTCATGACAATTTACCAAGTACCATAGTGGCTCCTTACCGTAGCAGTAGATGAAGTCGATAAAGCTACTCCTTGAATTTTTCTACCTATTTTTTTTCCATAGCATCCTTTTCAATTGCAATATAATACCAAAATGTGTAGGAAAGTGGACCTAGATTTAGGGAGAGTTTATTGCAAATGCATCATTGCCATTATTATATCTTTCAATGTATTCATAATCACATTTTAATTTAAAGCTTATAAAATTGCCTTATATGCCATGAACCATTTCGGATATGCTTTACTGCAGGAAATAAATATTTAGAAAATAGTTCTTATGTAGGATGGGGCATTCAAATCCACGATCTTTGGTGGCCTGCTTGTCGTAATGACATAGCTTTATCTACTGTTTTCGGTGACAGAAGGAGGCTAGTGCTTTCCTATAACAAAACAGCGAATTCGCTGTGGGAGAGAACAATACGTTGTTTTCGAAATTTTCTCGAAGATCAGCTACCAAGGTCGAAAAATACCACTTTAAGACTTACGCGAGTAGCATGCATTCTCTGAGTACACGCAACGGCCTCTATGCTTGTTTTGTTATTATGAATGTTGCTATTTTTTTACTTCTGATTATAACATAAATAATATAATACGACTTCTCGGTCAAATATTTTGTGTTTTGCCCGTCCCTGTAAGCGGCAATCTACGAATAATCTTGAAACGGTCTAAAATAGATGTTATTATGACTAGATTTTCATTAAATCGGCATTTGGCTATTTTTCGCTAGGCCTGTATTCCATACCGGCGGTTCGTAGGTCATGGCTAGTTCAACATTTGTAAGAAGCAAAAGATTTTCGAGTAAATAAATTAGGATCTTTTACCATAAATATTTGTAATGTAAATTTGGAGCAGTCCGTCGTCGGAGCACATATCTAACGCCATATGCTTCGAATAGTTTACTTAAGTGGAAGTAATAGCACCTAGATCTTTGTTCACGTCCTGACATTTAAGATTTACCTCGCCATCTCAGCTGGCCTTCGTTTTGCATTCCCATGCCGGCATTTGTCGGCATGTTTTAGGTCAGCAAATAGTTTTAGGTTAAATCTTTCGATCCACTCATAAAAGCCCAGTGAACCTTGTTGCATAATAAACTCCTTTTGCGGACTATTTACTACGCTGTATATATGTACATCTTCCACGTATGTTTTTACTGATAGTAACGTCAATATTGTATGCACTAGAGAGTTTATACATAACATATTGATTAAAGGCTCAGTATGGGTAGTATGGGTGTCCTTGAGGACATCCGGACGTTACACCAGCATTCCTAAAATGTTATTTGAAGTCTATGTTTGTTTGTATTTGTGTCTGCTAATTTGTCTACCTAAAATGGTCTAGGTAAAATACTGGCTTTAATTTTATTTTTGCAGGCCAATAAACCTGCTTTTACCCTGAGGAGATTTTACCAGTTGGTTGAATATTTCTTTGTTGTTACTCCTTACAGCTGCCATACACACAGCGGGGTAGCGGGTTAACTGCAACGGAAGTACGAAACAGTTAGGACCAAAGGAAAAAGTACTTGTAGTAACGTGACAAAGTTGGTAGAGTAATTCATTAGGAGGATGGAGTTACTGCAACAGTGTGATTAATGCAACAGCACAATCATAGTAAAACCATAAGTTAGTTAACTGGATTGAACAGCCGCAACAGTATATTAGATTGGGTGTAATAACAACTCAATTGTATTACATTAGGAGCAGCTAATTAACTAACAGCTGCAAGGTGACAGAACTATTTGGGCTACATTGGGCAAGTGGGTAACTGGATCTCGACAGTAACTGATGTACGCGCAACCTATAGTCGGGCTGGGCGTGAACTCAGCGAATCAGATTAGTTGCATTATGCGAAACGGGGACGGAACACAGCCTACTATAAGCCTCCAGTATATACTAGATGTACATTTTGACCTAACCTATCAATATGTAACGTTGAACTCTCTTATACGGTGGCAAACAGTTTCAGACTCACAATACTACATGCGTCTTCTACTTTCTCGAGAAAATTCGTAAAGTAGATGCATTACTATACCAACCTGATTACAACTTATTTTTTTAAAATAGACGCAGATGCGGTAAAATTTGTGTCGTAGGGCTAGCACGCTATTTGATATCTTATGTAGATTTCAGGGTTCTTTTGCAATTATAGAGTCAGTTTAAAATAATCTCATGTTTTCCTGAATGGAAGCCTCATTGGGAGATATTCAAAGATTTGCCTGGAGGCATATAGAAGATACCATTGAAACGACCTTGCCGGCGATGTTTCATGAAAAAGCACAACAGATTTTCCCCTCAATCGATCCCCTCTTATAGAATATCAATATTTTCGCTTAGATATCTTATAGAGGATCGACAATTCAGGACATTACTTCGAGGCTAGGTCAAGCAAGCTTAAAAGTCGCTTTTCTCTTGGCCTCCAAAGCCTGTTTGACTTTTGAGCTTGTAAATTAGCTGTACGCGTAGAAGAAGCAAAACAATTTCACGTCCGTAGTCCAAAAGAGTAGACACACCGCTGTTATTATTTGTCTTTAAAAAGTAATGCTATTATAATAATATTATATTAAAAGACGTTTTACAGATGTTTAATTTTCCGTATAAGGCGGTAGTCGAAAATTGATCGTGTCTCATTCCTGCCTTTAAATGAAAACAAACAAGTTTAACATTCGCCTAAAATTGGCCTGTAGACTCACAGTTAAAAAAATCTCTAAATACCTCCTAATACAGACATTATTTCTTTCGATGTATGTAGAGGAACTTTTGATTCAAGCATACTTGTTACCGTTTCGTAATTGTATTTGATTCTTTTTTTCATATGTATAATTTTAGACTTCTTTAGCCTTTGATTGTTTTTTCCATTCTTGTCGATTCGAAACGAACGGTGACTACTGGGGGTGGGGCAACCCTCCCACAATCTGCATGGTTTAAATTAGCGATTAGACTAAGCAACGATATAAAAGCCAATCTTAAATGGGAAGTCGGCGGTATTTTGCGATGTTCAGCAATACGTTACAAGTAAAATTCGTACCTTTGGCACTGGTGGCACAAACGGAAACTGGTGCCTAGAATGGCATCAATAATTCTAAAGGTGTGCTTTCTAAAAGCTTCAACCCAAGTTAATATCTGGATGATGCATCTTCGTGGTGCATTGGCAAATTAGAGAAAACGTTTTGTTAAAAGTTGAATATGACATTTAATGACAGAGGCTGCTGTGCGCCGGACTCAAAGATGCACGTGACTCCTTAAAATACCAGCTACCCACACTCAAATATAAACGAGAGATTACCATTCAGACTCGAAAATTTAGGTCCAGTGGAGTATGTAGGCACGATTTGAGATCAAGCTATAATCCTGATAAAACGTCTTAAATCATATATTGAGATTATTATAAAGTTCTGTAGACATAATTAAAGAGCTATTTACGCTTTGCATTCTTCTAAATTATTCTTTTCGTTATGGCGGAAGGGATTAGCTTAAAATAATTTTTTATTTTCAAGGGACCCTGGTCTATAAGCCGTCAAACTAGCGCACTGCAAAAAAATTTCAATTAATTCACTTTTTATCTATCTTTCCCGCAAGACGAAACAAGATCCGTCTGGTTTCGTCCTCTATGTATATACGCGAGGACTCCCATCTATGAGTTATAAGCTTTAGTGAAATACAAGTATTTGAAACAGTTTCTCCAAATATATCTTCAATATGGTAAATGACCTCGATGTTCTTTACCCGGCAGGGCAGAGCTTTGCTATTAGCTAACACTAGTTGGGAATGTTATTTATAATGTTCGTCTAATGTTCATCTTTTGTACAATTTCGACATAAAATTAATCAACGCACACAAAAGCATGCCAATGCAGGCAAAAATATCGCGATAATCCTCAAATATAACCAGGTGTTTCACCTCGCGTTGAGTTTTGTGGTTTCCATGGTAATGACAGGCATCCTACTGTCAGATCTAACGCCGCAGCAAGCTCAGCTGGCCGTTGTTCCGTAAGGTCAGTTTCGTCCGCCGCATCTTGACATCGGGCTGTTTTCTATGGAAACTTACTGGTGGTAATTTTGTCGTTGTTTAAGGCTAATCGAACTAGTGCATAATGTTCCTCATTCGCTAGCTACTTTACAACTAATGATGACTACTTTCTATCAGCTCGGTGAGGCATAGTGTTAGAGTGTTTATGCGGTCCGGGTTCATCTGTAAGCAATATAAGAAGAACAAAGCTTCGCCTAAGCGAATAAGCCAAGTCTGGCGAGACTGCTGCATAGGCCGCAATGAACTCACAATGAAATACGCCCCTTTCAATATAGGTGTGACCTATCGTAATTGTGGGAACGCAGATGTTTAGCCTATGCTATAATGCTGGCCGATGAGATTGAACAGCTAGTTACCGAGCTGCTTCAGGAACAAGCTAGTGACGCAGATACTCACAATGAGGCACGACCGTCCTTAAAGGTATGTTATGCTTCAATAAAATGCTTATACTACCATGGACTGTTAATATATGTGTAATCTGTCAGATTGTAACGAGAGAAAACGCCACGAAAAAACACTGCTTAGCGCAAGGGGTTACTGTATGTGAAGTACTACATAAAATCTAAATTTGATGAGACCTTTTCGGTTCAAAAACTGCCGAAATTTTTTATAGTCTATATCAAGTGTAGAATATTTCGTGCAGAACTAACTTCATCGGTTGTTAAACCCCTAAACGGTTCTTCCGTTAGCTGTAGAACCATTAAGTGAAATTGCATTGCAAATATAATAAGGCAAACGAGTGAAATAAAAATACCTAACTTGACAAAACGATTCGGCATCACTTGCCTCGTTGGCAGGACCATTTCAGTCGAGAGAGCGGGAAATGCGCTCCGGCATATCTGGGCGGGTCTTTTCTCAAAGCGGGTATTTCTCGAACGGGCGTCATTCGCGCATGTTCCCGGCTCCGTTGTGCTTCCTGTGATATCACTGTTGCTGCCTTCTCAGGTAGAGTCGATCGACGACAATATTCCATTTTTATTTTATATCGTGAAACCTAGACCTTTCAACGTTAATACCTTCCATTTATAGGACACATTTTCTGTTGGACGCTCCATTATTACTAAATTTATTGAAGACGATCCAAAATATGAATTAAGTTGATGCTTCGAACACATGCAGTTGCGGCGATTATCACTTCATATTAATAGTTGTTTGCTCTCTTTGGTTACTGTTTGTCTGCGATCCATGCTCTGTCATCTCTTGGAACACTCAACCACCGCGTCGAACTAACGCGCTAAAATCTGCCGTGTCGTTATTTCGTTCAACAGATTTACGATGGCAGCCTGATATGGACTATTTGTTCCTTCGTAACCATGCACCGGGGGAGGCTTTACGAAAAAAACTTGCGCCTGCCCCTGGGGCTCGCGCATACGCTTGCCAGTGCCGATGGGTGTCCCTTAACGGTGGTCAAGCGGTCACACCAGCTTCTCTAGGCTTTCGATGGTTTTGCGTCGATGGTGAACATTGTGAATTTTAAGGGCTACGTTAACACCTAACCTCTAAGTAATTTTTTTCTGAATTCAGTTCAGTAGCTTCTATACATGAATGACTTATGTACCGTGCTCAGGTGCAAAAAGACTATCTACGTATAAATTCTAATGAAAACAGCGAATATTAAACGCATGTTAGATGTATATGAAATCGGCATTATTGGTCTGTGTAAATAAAATTATCTGAATAAGATTAAAACTTCAGTCTTAACTTTAAAAAGAACTAGGCTTCTTTAGTACAAAGCAACCTTCAAGATTAGCCTGTCTAGGGAATGCTCTATGTTTTTCTTCTCGTTATTAAAGAATTGCCTTATAGTAACATTTATTAACAACAATTTCTTTTCAAAATGCTAACAAAAGCCTCACACTTATTCTTATTAAGCCACACACAAGAAGCTCTCTCAGTGCGTACGCCTTACTTTACGAAACGCACTGACGTAGATACTTGATATAATAACATGTGATTTTAGGAGTTGATAGGGCGTAGTGTGAAGCTCGACAGGGGCAGCATCGCCCGACCAAAAACGAAACTATAATCTGCATGTTACAGCTTCGTAGCAGTATCGTGTAGACGAAATCGTACGCGGCTTGATGGAAGCCAACCAGTGCAAAACTAACGAAGCGAAGAGTCTGGTGGTAGCCAAAGAAAAAGTTCATATAGGAGACGAAGCATCGGACAGCTTAAGGGTAAGGGCCGAAGGATCAAGTAGTGCGAAGTGTCACGAGGCACTACGGAAGGATACGCTGGTGTAGTATAACTGTGAAACGGCGGAAACCGATACGTAGCCGGGATTCAAGAATAAGCATCGGGATCGTTTTGCAGAGGAAGAGCTTAAGTCTGCCGAGAACTTCTTGAAGGAACTTCGAAAAACCATCAAAACCCGCTGACCGTAGTTTCTGTAGGGTACAAGCTTCCTAATGCTTAGCCGGCTTAATATGATGCTTAGCCGGATTGTTTGACATGGAGGAGCTTATCCATTAAAAGCACAGCCGACAATTTAGAAGGTTTGCTACAGTTGCTCCTGGGAACCCAGTTAAACGACATCACGTGCGACACGGGTTGGGCCAGTCATTTGGCTTATGCCAAGGTACTAATCGGCAAGTATGGTAAAATAAAGTAAAGAAAAATGCAGCACGTGAAAACAAGGTTACCGCGGGCTGGGGCATACCTGGTGCCATTGGCCTGACTGAGCAGCCTACTGATATAGGCACTTGATTATAGAATAAACGATCTGAGTATTTGCGACGTAGCCTGAAGCTCGACAGAGTGCCCGACCAAAGACAAGATAATATCGGCGCGATATACTCCCTCTTGCGCGATGATAACTATCGTCGTTTTTGCCCGTTGTCATTATCTGTAGCAAAACCACTCGCATGTGTGGGGTAAGAACATATGATCGACACCTTCGTTACACCAAATTACACTAACGGTTTGCGTTGTGTACTGTTCCGACCATTGCCCATTTCAGATCTGACTACTTAATATTATATAGAACACGATCAATAAATTAAAAATGGATTCTGCTAAGGGTGTTCGTTAGTTCATATTCTCTGTCAAGCTGTAATCAATGCATAAAATAAATTTATTCACGCTTTGGGTTGCTAACATCGTAATCTGGTGCGCACTAAATTTTAACAACATTGTAATTATATAATAACAAAATTACAATACTATTTCTTTGTCTACTGACAATCACTATTATATAATACATGCATGGCAGTTACGCAAAACATGATGCCATTAAGAGACGAACTTATTCATATACCTGCGTATACATTCGCTTCAATTAGCACCCGCTAATGCTGACATGTATGCAGGTATAAATTTCGTATTCCGTTTATCGCTTTTGGAGAACGAAATTGGTAAGGTCTTATGCTGCGTTTGGGAAGTTATACTCAGAAATTGAATCACGCAGTCAAAGGCGTATGAGGTGCATGCGCGTGTTTTAGGTAGTGCGTGCAATGTTTGCGGCCTGCGTATGGCACCTGTACATGCTGTATCTATCACCGCGTTCGAAATCAGATATCTTAAGTGGAACGTTTACGTTGCATGAACACCTGACTGGAGAGTTCGCACAATGAATGCACTAAGCCTTGCTTGTCCTCCGTGCTTAGCACTTCAAATGCGTGGACGCTATAGTCGAGACACGAGTCCGTTGTGTCGCCGGCTATTCGTTCTCTGGATCAGAACTGCTATCATAACGCGATCTTGCAAACTGTTGTGAACTACACCCCGTGGCATATATTCGGTGTATAGCGTAATATGAAGTCGTCAGTAGCTTCCATGGCAGGAAAGGTATTGTCCCGCAAGAGAAGTCAGTTGGAAACTCAGTGCAAGGAGAATAAGTGTAGGCTGCCTGTTCGAACAAGTGATAGCGCATCCGGTAAACACTGGGCGCTACTTCGGCAGAACGTAACAACCCAATTAACTAACGTGCAAAAGAATATCGTCGTGAGTTACGGACTAGCCGAGTACTATGCTCTTGCTGGCGAGGTGTTCGGTGGCGGAGTCCGCGCCGATAAAGTTCTCGTCGCTCTGCGTGACTTCGATGCGCGGGTGAAGAGAATTCTGCAGTGCGCAAATTCTAGCCGATCCACAACAAGCAAAGGCAAAAGACGGACCAGTTCCCTCAGGCTGGGACGAGCTAGTGAGCTGTCAGCGGTACTAGCTGACGATGTGAAGTGTTTTGCTGGCCAAATCATGTTGCTGCCTATCTCATTGGCAATTTACACTGGCGCCAAGGCCAAAGATTGCAGAATGGTGATCGAGTACGGCGGTAAGAACACAACAATTGATGGAAGTCAATTTAATGGCAAATGCTCGAAGATCCCGCTTGATGTCCACCCTACTTGCATTCCGAAAATCACATTAATACATCGCAAAAAAATTATGGGCCTTTTTCTCAAAGAAGAACCGCAGGGCGAAGTGCAGGTACGTTATAAGAAAATGCTTCGGGGCGCGCATTGTTGATACAGTTTGATATAGTGGTAAACCTTTCTTAATATACATATGATGATGAAACGCTAGATAAGACATATGCGCCCTATATTTAGGAGGTTTGCAATCCGCTGTCAAGCTACATTCGTTATATTATATTAACTGATACGATGAATTTTGGCTTGTCATTGTATGGGAATGCGCGATATGTAGAATAAATTTTAGTTTGCTTTATGCTACATGAATATTCTAAATTGCCAGTTGTTCTGCACTATGTGCTGTTGGCTGGTAAGGATTAGCCCATACTTGATTAAGCATTTACTAATAATCGTCGTTATTGAGAACTTACTTATTTATCACAGAATTATTATTTTGTGTGCTGTATGTGCCATGAACACCACTATATAATATGCTCTTTCTAACACGGATGATATTTATAGTAACACAAAAATTCGGCGGCTAAGGATCTTAGTTAGGCTGTGATTTTAAGTTATATATACATATTAATAATATAATAATTATGCGACAACATAATAACTTTGCCTGAGCACGCCATTGTTCATATGAAGAAAGGGTGATGTCTTATTTCGGAAACCAAGCAGTGTAGTATTAAATATATAGGCAAGCCTGTAAGTATTATTGAATGTGGTTTAGGATTAAAACTTTATTCTATTGACACATTAAAAAAGTAAAGATAAAGTTAATGCGCAAGTGCTACAATGTATTGATTGATGTAAAACTCAAAAAGACGTTGCATTAAATAAAACCAGTTGTTTTAAGTAATTTTGTCACTTATCAAGATAATAAAGTTCGTGCTTTTTTTCCAGTGGATGCTTACTCACGCCCGACCACTCGAGTTTGGCCATATGATGGTTGATCTTAGTTTCATCCAATCCAGCTATTGTAACGGATGCTGTCCCACAGCCCATGCTGTTGTGCAGCTCGAGTGGTTTCCTAAAGTTTGCGTGCCTCTGACAGCAAACAGTTTCTGACTGAAGGTACGCCGCTGGACAGGTCTCGGTATTCCATTAATTGAACCGAGCGGCCTTCATCGAGCGTCACTAAACTTCCGAAAAAGCTCTGTCCAAAGTGGTTACTTTAAGTTACGATTCCAAAGTCATCCTGCAGCCATTATTAATATATTACTTGAAAATATTTTATTCATAAAATCTAGTAAGTACAGTCGGCGTTGCCTATATATATGGAGTACGGTTGATGCTCCTACATGAAACGTTGAATTCTCAGCTTCTTTTCATTGAATCTATAACGTTTGCAAGTTGAAATGTTTTTTTTTTATTTAACTATTCGAAAACCTTAAAAAATCATAGACTTAATAACTAGGATTAGATTAAAGTAACATTGTACGCTTTATTGATCGAAAAAATTGATTGGAGTTCGGTATCTAAGTCATTTGTGTCGCTTACCATAAAAATGTGGCATTGGATTGCGTATATTTCATATCTTTTGTAGCGCTTTGAATCTAAGCTCACACGCAAACAAAATATGAGATATATAATGAGCAAGAACTAGGAAAAATAATGAGGAAATGTGTGAGCGGGACAAATTGCTATTTAAATGAATAAATTAGTGTGGCTAATTGTGTAGCCTCTTAGTTACATTCAATATGTACAGCTTATGTGTCCAACTATTTATATGCAAATTGTTTATAATATATATATATATATATATTATATATATGAGTAGTTCAATGGCGACTACCAAGTACTTCATAGGAAAATTCAGTGCCAGAGTGATACCATTTACTTCATTTTAGTGGTATATTCGTAGCGTTTCATAACGATGCATACGCATAATACATACTAACCAGAAAGTGTACAACCAGAATTGTAGACGCATCGACAAAGGAAATGCAACGAGACATGTAACGTATTTTCATGTCAATATGTAACGCCCATCGAAATAAACTGCTTTCTGTAAGCACCGTGAAATGATTGAAGGAGATAGAACGCCGTTAATTTGTGCATAAGACATATAGCATACATCTTTAAGGTGAACTGCAGAAGCAATACTGCTCATCATTTCGCATTCCTTGTTATTCGCAGGTTTAACCGAAAATAGTGTTTCTATATAAAACGCTTGGCTCGAATGTCTAGATTTCTGCATGTACGCATAATGTGTACGGTGAAAAAGCACTGAGAAAACTCACTACTAGTTTGACGTGCCTAACCCACATTTTTCTGCATACTTTGTATTTACACATCTATTCACTGGAGCTATTTGCACAAAATCGAACTTTAATTTCACTGTAGAAGCATGAGTTAAAGAAAAAGGAGATGCTTGGCATGCTAGAGGACGTATGCCTGCACGACTGTCCTATTGTCTATATATATGGTCAGGTTTAAGTGTCGTATGCTTACTGTACTTTCTCACAGATGAGCAGTTATACTGAACGTAATGAATGGATCGCGTAGCTATAAGCTTATATGTACTGCACAATATTGTCGCACTAAAGAAGGTGCTTACTATAACTCACTTATATTTTCCACCACTAGCCTGGAAATTGCCGAAATGAAATATTCTTTTTGCAAAGGATTGATTATGCTTAAGTAATTTTATTGGTTATCTTTAGCAACTTGTTAATTGTTTCTAGTACGAATGCGGTAGCTACTTGCTATACCAACATCATTGATAATGTATGTCCTGAATTACAAATAGTGGTCTAAAATTCTTATGGAACACTTCAGCTTTATTACTAAATTATTTTATTTCTCGTATTTTCACGCTAGATCGGTTTATCGTTAAACTGTAAGTCTACGATGCCTTGAATTGCAGAAAATTTGATTTCCTCAAATTTTCGAAGGTTTACGTTTGATAAACCATTATACAGTACGTCATTATAAAACCTACTAAGCTCTTAAATTAAGATTCCACGTATTTAGTTTTGTTTTATGATAATTATTGTTGTTGTTCTCATTTTAAGCACACAAGGAAGATAACACAAGGACTTGTATTGAATCTAACGGGATTACTCTAGTACAAGCCTTTGCAGTTTTTGGCATTATACCTGTTAATTTACTCAATATCGATCTTTTTGACTAAGGTTTTGGTAAGGATTAATGTTTCCACTTAGCTAGCCTCACTACAAACGAATGAAAATATCGACGTTTACATTCAAACATATCTGCATAAAACTAGATCATTTATTAAGGTTTAAACGAAAAACTTTTTAAAGGATCCTTATTCTGTTTATTGTTATTTTGAGGGAACGCTTTCCCTCGTTTTGAAGCTCTCTTACATACAGGTTCCCAAGCGCTTGATCTGACAGCACTGCCTTCTTCAGTTGTTATTCGAGGCCTTTTTCGATTGGACATCTGAAATATCCGCGAAACACTCATTAAATACCCAGTTCACAGATATTCTGCTTATGGAAACGTTATCTGGGTGTCAGATTAACATCTAAAGCAAAACGGAAAATTTTAACCGATTGTACCCAAAAATCCTCCAGATGACAAAAATTGCATTGAAGTGTTATCAATCTGCGATATTGTACAGCTAAAGTAAAAAGTTAATTAGAAATTGACACGTGAATTGTTGCAGTTGCTGTTTTACATCTTATATTTGGGAATGTATTTACCTTAAATAAATAGAGTACTAACAAAAAGAAATTCAGCGATTTCAGTATCAGTATACCTGAAGAGCGGTGATTTTGGGTCACTTTAATCTTCCTATCTAATTCGTTCGTGCACAACATCATCAACATACCTGCATAATACGTTGTAATGTTGGGGGGATGATATAGTCTGGAACGTGTTTGAGTCCGTGATACTTTACTGTTGTTGCCCGAGCAGCTTTATCATGTCGAAGAAGCGAATGTTCTCGGGGATTCTCCTCAAAGAACGTCTTTAGCTTGGCGCTTTTCAACATTTCCTGTGGATATAAAAAATAATTATGTGGGCAAAACTTTCGTTATTCCAATTTCTACTTTTGGATAGTCGGAAGTATAACACATTCATAAGGTTTTTACTAAGAAGAGAAACACAGCCATCTTTTCCTTTTTTTCATTTTGATTCACTTTACCAGGTAGACCGTTGATCACCTACCTAGATTAGATAAGGACACCCTATACCTTTTAAGAAACCTTCCGCTCATATTTTCGCCTTTTGTTTTGGTTTGGTAAAGATCCATTCAGTTTGGTGGGCAATTTATTGCGATGATATGCTTCAACACAACAACATAAGCTAAGCTGTTTCGGTTTAACGATGATTTCTAACTCATATATATATATATATATATATATATATAGCGAGCGCCTCTGAGTAAAAATCATTTGATTCGTCACGTAAATGTGGGTTGTTCGAAAAAAGGGCACCGCAACAAGCTTCTGTAAAATGGGTACAAAAAGACTCGTCCTTCAAACGTCTCATGAAGCAAGGGTATTTCCTTTAGAAGAACCCCATCGGTTTTTAAAGTTAGGATAAGTGAACTATTGATTAAGACCTAGAAAAGCATTCCTGTTCGTATGCCAGTACCTCAACAAAAAAAGGTTTCCTGGCGATTCCAATCAGAGCATTTCTAATTCCAAGGTGGCAACAAAAAAGCTTGCATGTACCACAAATAAAACACAGAAATTGGTATTAAATAGTCAGCAACTCCAAACTATAATTTCGAAACTGCGTGCAGGTTGCTAACAAACATCCCTAAACAAATCGGCTGTTTTTTCTACTTAATTTATATTCAAGCACAACTGAACACAGTGTTTATAATGGGTTGTATTGCACCTGAAATTACTAAGTTGCGCAAAACTGTATATATATATACAAAACTATATACGTTGGACTTCAATAGTGTGCCTACTTGAAGCAGAAATTTCATTCGTGAAGAAGTATGAGTTGTTAGACTAACTACCAGTTATTACATTTTTAATGTTCTACCGATTGTGACTCAAATAAGCTTTTTTTTTACCTCTTTGATATCCTTGATTCGCGCTTCTTTTATGACTCTTTTCTGTAACTGGTTAAGTGCCGTCTGAGCGCGATAACGAAATCCTTCAATTTCATCAATCTTGAACCGGTACGCCTGAAACATGTTCCGTTTCTCTTCTACCATCTTAGCTTCAACAGCCTCGTACAAGGGCATTTCGCGCATAGAGACAAAATTGAGGGCTGTTCCCTTCTGATTAGCACGAGCTGTACGGCCGATGCGATGAATATACGCTTGGATACTCATAGGAAATTCCAAGTTGATAACGTTAGATACGAATTGAAAGTCCAGACCGCGACTTGCAGCAAATTCTCGATCTATACCTGATCTTCTTTTATTTCCATCTTTTTTGCTTGAAGCTTTCCTCGCATCCAATGATTTGTCATCAGATGCCACAATAATCTCATAACGACCTTCGTTGAATCGATCGATGACCACTTGTCTCGACGTAAGTGGCAATTCACTATTGAGCACACAACTCCGAACACCGAACTGATCGAGGAATAGCTTCGTTCGGTAACCTCTATCTACCGAGTTAACAAAAATCAGCGTTTTTCCCTTGATTAGATTGAGCTTGAATAAAGCTGCAAGAATCGCATACTTGTCCAGTTCCTCGCACTTCACTACATACTGCGTAAGGCCAGGATTGTCGGTAAGGGAGCTTTCTTCTACCCGTAGTGTAACCGGGTTATGTAATACGAGCCGCTTGAGCGCTAGCACATCTTCGCTCAACGTAGCTGATGATACAATAGCTTGGAATATAGTTGGTAGGTTTGTGAGCAACTGTTCGGTATCCTTTTCGTGGCCAAAAGCAAACACAAGGTCAGCTTCGTCGATCAGCAGCATCTCAACCGAGTCTAATATAAGGTTTTCGGCTTTCGAGTGGGCAAGAACTTTTGCTGGCGTGCCTATAACCACATCTGGCCGTTCGATTAGCTGCGGTCGCAAAACTGATAATTGTGAAAACTCAGACACGTCCACAACTCGTACCTGTCCTGTACAGTACCGTGTCAGGGCTACAAAGTGCCTGTAGATTTGCTTACATAGCTCCTTACTTGGAGCTAACACCAATACTGTCGTCTCCTGATCGCAACCCTTCAACCGACGTTCAAGTATCTTCTGGATAGCAGGAATGGCAAAACCAGCAGTTTTGCCCGAACCCGTTCTTGCTCTTGCAAGGATATCTTTACCTAGAAAAATAATGAGATTATCGTTAACAATGTAAATGCTAAAAGTCGGATTTGAATCTCGGTACCTTAGTCTTTGAGATAGGCTTCTCTCTAATAAAAACGTAAAATTAGGGATCATCTAAAATAATTTTTATTGCTAGTATTGCCGGCACAAATACTAGTCAATATTTAGATTTTATAACACATCCTGAAACAACAGTCGTTCAAGTGCTGGGATTAAAACGCATGTATTTCCATTAAACTTAAACTTTATTGACGTTATTACAGCTATTAATATTATTATATAAGATGCTTCCACTGCTGCCTCAGTTTATTCAGAGGCCATCGCCAAAATCTTTATGGATATAGCCTTCAATATTTGTATACTGCATTGTAAGAACATTGTACAACGGCATACTATGTAGTGAAAAGGTAGCTAACACAAGGGCTAAGTTGATCGTACGTAAATTCTCATACACATATGAAATAAAAATAAAAAACTATCCTCATGAGAACCATTAGCCCAGCTGAGTTAAGGTACCTTTAAGTGCAAGCGGTATTGCATGTTCCTGAACAGCAGTTGGCTGCCTCCAGCCAAGTGCGGCAATTGCTTTAACGATGCGCTCGTCAAGTCCCATCTCGTGGAATTCGAGTGTGCGGACGTCACCAGCCATATCCAGGTATAATATATGTTTAAGTCCTTTTCACACCTCCCGCTCAAACTTAGGATAAACTCTAAAATAATAAAACACAAGGCCAGTAGTCCAAGTTTACAGGTCAATCACGTTCAGCTTATTTCAATTTTTTTTCCGTAAAGGGATAAACATATTTTGCATAATGAAAAGCACCAAAGACAGATTTTGAAATATAGGTTTATTGCGTAATATGAACACAAAAACATCAATAGAGTTAACTAGTAAATCAAAAATATATCAGTGCTTATAAATGTACGCTTATTTTTAAAAAAGGAAAAAAACTTTAACAGACATTGGTTATATCTGGAATTACCTGTGAAACCCCTTGTCCACGCTCCTGAATTCACGTTTTCAATCATGCAACTAAATGTTTCGTTTACCACATGCTCAAAAATCCAACACTTATCCACTCCATGAGTTTTGTTATTCGTTCATAACGCACAGTCAGTGATAACAACAACACGTGTCGGCAGTCAATGAACCCAAACATACGTCCCATCGGCTGGTCGCTGCGAGCGAGAAACACGATGTGGTAACGCCCTCTCCTGGACGCGGTCTATTTGAATATACACCGCGGCTTTTTGAGTATTATTGAGCCTGTTGCACATTATAAGCGTGCCTTTGGTATTATTTTAAGTTTTGGCCGATTTTGGTTGTGACGACGACTACAAAAACGTCAGTAGTTAAGAGCTAGCTTGAAGAAAGATTTATTTCATCTTTGAAGAAAGAATTGACGCTGAGATATTTCATGTAGAATTCCATGCCTTATTTTTCCACATATTACAGAGACAGCGGGTCGATCTCAATACTATCTCTGTGTATTTTCACAAGCCAGATTTGGATCGCTTCCGTTACTGTCTTATCTACTTACCATACACACTTGTGACTGGGCGTGACAAGTTTTCTAGTATTTCTGTACTTATCCTGCAAGTGTTTAATCGGTTAAATAAAGTATCGTTCTTGGTGTTTAGCTCACCAATAAAAATGTTTAATAAGAGTTATAAAACCGCGTATATATGGATCATCATATTCTTCCGCAAGTTGCGCGAATCTCTGCCCCTGCTACCTTAGCCCACTAGGTAAGGACGAAATGATTGACGTTCGAATAACCCTGAAATAAACAGAGATCAAATTTTCGCTTCATCGTACATTATTTATTAGTTTCCTTTAATTGTTATCATTTCCATCTTATCATCAATTGTCATCGTCCCTTTTGCTTACACCCTTTCTCTCTCGCTCTCGCTTGCGTTACCTGTTGCACAGTCATCTCAGTCAGTCTCTACAATTCGCACGCGTTCCTTTTTTCTTTCCCGCCCGGCTTGCTTTCGCGTCTCCTCCATTAATAATAATTATTTCAATAATCGTCATTCTTATTAGTTATCTTGATATCTCCAGCAGCTTGTCTACCAGAACTCCAACGCACCTAATAGGAATTGTTGAAGCGTTCATTGTTCGCCACCACCGGGTGTTCTGTCATTTTAAAGCGTAGTCTATTATCCTCTGCTTTCTTTATGTTTCTGCTACAGTTTCCCTTCGTGATGTTTATTTTTATAATCGCGTATCGTTCTTGCATTTTCCCCTTTTTTGAACGCTCTCTCTTACCGTATGTCTGTTAGTCCAGAGTAGCATTTATATCGTATTTACTATTATACTTATTATTATTATTATTACTGTTGTATGTATTATTAGGTGTTCCACTCTAAACATTCTATCAACTCTCTCTTATTCATTATTGTTTGTATTAACTATCGTATTTTATATTTTCTACTCTTTCTTTAAACTTTTTACGTAGTGGTTTTTCTTTAATTACGCGAAAACGCATTTCTTTCTTTATGTTATATTATTACTGTTATATAATTGTAATTAGTAAGATTAATTATTATAATACTATTTGATTATTATAGTGTATCGTGCCTTTTTTAGTGGTAGCTGTAGCTCTCCAACATTTTTTCGTTGATTTCAGATATCGATTGTTAGGTGGTGTCTTGAAGACACAGAATTTTTTGCTTTTATTATGCATGTAGCGGCAAGCATAATTTTGGATTTCGTCTCATTCCCATAATGTTGTATTTTGTTATGTTCGGCACTTTTACGTTTACTTTCGGTCTCTTTTTTCATGGTCTCCTTGTATCTGCCCTCGGCCATTTTGCGAACGTAGCGGCCCTCCCCAATTATTATTGCTCAGCCGTGTCTACAGCTTGTGTTCGTAGTATCGTTTTATTATTGTTTCCTATATATATATGAAACTATTATAAGAGATATACATCTCTTATAGTAGTTTCATTGGTTTTATTCTTTCTCTCGTCTTCTTTCATTGGTATCGTTAATGGTTGTGTGCCATTCACTCGATTGTTTATCATCAGCTCTCCGGATTACCTTCGTGTCATAATAAAAACAGTGGTCGGTCTCGAATAGAATTTTCTCCGAGATGATAATAACCGTGCTTGTTAAACCGCCTTTAAAACAATATCTTTCATCGATGTAATCGAAACGCATCGAAGGATGGGAGTATGTGTTACATGCTATGTTGTATCGTCATTTCTTTTATTCCTGTGAATTTATTTAATGATTGGTCTATATTTTAGTAGAAGTCAATGTTTGATTTTTAGTTGGTGAGCTCATTAGATAGGCATTATAATACGTGATACGGTTATTCGAAAAAATCTTCGTTCTGTCAGTGACGTGTCCCACAACCTCCTGGCGATTGTGGGTTCGGACTCCTTAGCCAAGCAGTTTTCAGCGACAATCGTAATTCACCACGAGTCCTTGGGTCAAAACGTATAGTTCTAAAGCCCCTAATTTGAATCCCGTCAGACTTCACATTTTGAAAATTTCCAACGAACCGAGTCTGTATCTACATATATTAGCCTGTATCTAGATAATATACCTAGTCAAGCACACCGTCCACAGGTTCACCGTATGTAGATGGGCACATACAATAGCAGCAGTTGTCGTCTTTCGGATTATGGGGAAGGAAAACCACACAAAAGTTGATCATTATGTCAACCAGAATACAGTTGTAGCTTGATTAAATAATGACCACTATATATAGTCTTATTAGAGATGATAAAAATACGTAATCATGAGAATGTCAATATGACACTAATAAAGATATAGAGATATATGCTGTCTATTTAATAAATGTACTTACATATTATGCGTATGATAACCTTTTACTATTTAACCCTATGTAATAGCAACAACAACAACAATAACAGGGGGTGCATAAATAGTCTTAATCGAGTTTAGTAGTTGATTATTCTTATAACCATCCGCGTTCATCAAATTATTTATGTATTGACTGATTCGTTCTCGCTCTCATATCCAGCGGGGCTGGATTCGAAATAATGGAAAGAGATAAAACTACAGGGGCGCCATCTAAGTGAATCTAGCGAATAAATAAACAACAAAGACATGACAAATGGACGCTGTAATCAAAGGATATTAGCGTGTGGCGTTCATTCGCCAATACGCTCTTATGACTTCGCAGTGCATCCATTGTTTTGTCTACGTCTAGCAAATTTCTAATGGTTGTTCGACTTGATCTTATCGTACCGACAACTAAACGACAAGCAAGCAGTTGATACTTGCACAATGATATCAGTCACTGTAACGAAGCTTTATATCCAATGATTGTTAAGTACAAGAATTTGACTGATGTTACATTATGGAGTCTGAAATTGTTCGCAACATAGACTTCACTGATTAGCAATAAGTTAAGACACAATAATGTTTGTAGAATCCAGAGTAAACTCTCTCTCTCCCTCTCTCTCTCTCTCTATCTCTTTCTCTCCTCCCCCTCCTCTCTCTCTCTCCCTCTCTAAACACTACTTTTATTTAACCAGTTTTCAAACAATGGCACGCAAACTCAATTGTCACATACGGGGACTAGCAGCTGTAGACGTGAACAATGAGCGCTGACGCACGCTTAGCAATAAATGAGTATTAAAACATGCCAAGCTTAGTATGGACTTCAAGGCGATGATGACGGCGCACGGAAACATCCATTCACGTTAGAAACAACTGTTTTTCAAAGACTTGTAAAAAGAATAATGTGAATTTTATGGTTCGTGTATCTCTAACAACCTTGTTTCTACCACAAACAATAAAAGCTAACGTCATCACGAGCATCACCGATTATTAAGACTATTATCAGGCACGTGGCTATGGCGGATATATTGAATTTTCAACCATTGATTTTAAGCTAAAACGTAAACGTATAGAAATAGACGAATTACATGTCATACATGAAAATAAAGTGATTGACTATTGCATTCTAGTTCCTGTTGCTTATTTTCTTGTTACAAAAGCAAAGCTTACCGATGTGTCGAAAAAGCAGCAGCAGCAGCAGCAACAACTCATATAGTTATAACTTGTCTTTTGGGCTATTTAACTAAGTGTCGAAACTTTACTTACCTAACCATATGGGTGGATCTGTGTGTTTATGTATACATGCTACTTAGTCTTTGCCCGATAGCAGATCACAGTGTTATCCAAAGGTCGTTGTACCCGTCAGATAAAGTCAGGCAGTGGCTTATGACTGAATGGTTTAGTTTTTGAACTTACGTCATCAGCCCTGTAGGCTCTCATTATGATTTTTATCTAGTTAATTTGGTTAACACGACTACCGAGAGTCACCAGCGTTTAGGGCTTCAATGAATCACTGAGTTTCAAATAAACACGAATAAGATTGATTCAGTCTTTTATCGTTGTTGCCTAAGGGAAAAACAATTGTTGGATTTAACGGGTTAAAAGATTTAACTGACACTCCAGCGCTGTCCTGCAATGCATCGAAAAGCTAACCCATTCTGTGTGTCCGTCTAAAGATGCTGTTGAGCAGTTCATGGGTGGGACTCGAACTAGGTTGACATTCATACTTGTTTTTACGACTACTATGTACATGTTACATGTTTTCATCCTGTTGTCCAGCCAATAAGGTAAGTGAACGAAAATCCTACATGGCAATGGAATGTTTGAAAAGCACTATAACGAAAAGCGTCAGCTACTAGTATAACTATAACTATAAATGTTATTTTGATCATTATTAGGATATTAGGGGTAGAGATATAAACCTCATGTGTGTGACGAATATACTCATGTGCATTGTTATACACATGTGTATATTATATATCCATTATTAAGTATTATTTAGTATGTGATAGGAACATTTGTGGGTAATGTGTCTGTGCTAGGTTATTTGATTGACTATGACTAAACGGAATTGAAAGAAACAATTATGGATTACGTTCTAGTCGGAATGGTCATGGATAAATTGATACGTCGTTGGGAGTTGCCAAGTGGTTCTGGTGACTTCGTCGGTTGTTAAGGTGTTTCTATAATTTTTTTTTTAGTTCACTTTTATTGTTATTTATATTTAAGGTTGTTCCTGTGGCGAATAGTAAGAGCGCTTGTGAGTTTCGTAATCTTTGTTGTTGCCTTAATAAAATTGTCTTTTTTTATTGGTTTTACTGGAAATTAAATTATTTTATTATTAGTTATTGATTGTTCGCTTGCAATTGTTATCTGTAGATGATTGTTTACACAATTCTTGTGGACCATCGAGGAGGTGCGCACGGCTGGCGTCCCTCAAGGTCGCA